GTGGAAAAGAAGATACAATCCTGTTATTTGTCAGGCAAGAGTTGAGTCTCTTCTCCCTGCCCTCTGTTGCCCCCTATGCCTAGAATTGCCCAGAAGACTGATGTTTTTAAGACTGGCTCTTCTCCTGTGTCTTTAACAGCAGCCTGCTAGATAAGAAGTTTAACATATGAAGCTTTTCTGAACATAAAAAACAGGGACCCTTCTGGATCAGGCCCTTGGTGCCCATGTAGCTTGTTCACAACAGTAGCTAACCAGATACCTCTGTGAAGAGCAAAAGCACCCATTTCCATTCCAGGAAAAGCTTCAGATTGCTGTTAAAGGGCCAGGCACAGGGAGTGGCCACCCAGCTGGCAACACTTTCCTACCACAATAGGCATTTAGCAGTGGAGTGACTGGTCTAAGGCTTTGAAAATTCCTTCCTAAAAACTAAGGGTATTGTTAGAGGGTGGGTCTTTTGTGCTGGACCTCAGATTTCCTTACCCCCCCTTTTTTTTTAAAAAAAAGGCAGGTCAACTTTGGCAGGTGGGTGAGACCACCTACCTGTCAATCATTACCTTTTTGCAGGGTTTGACTTCATGCTTGAGTTCCCCAGGGGGAATTCACACAGCCAAGCCAGGTATGCATCTGTCTTCCTGAAACTTGGCAACATGTATGACATTAGATATGGGGCACGTGGATGTGTTTTGGGCGAGATGGGCCAAATGGGGAAATCTGACAGGCCACATTTGGCCCATAGGGTGGAGGTTCCCCATCCCTAGTTTACAGAGTGGCTGGGCATGCTGCAGACTGGTGAGACCTCAGCTACCCACTGCCTTAATTTGCTCAAATCACTAAATTCATACCTACCGGTGCTCCCCCAGAGGGTCAGGGGTACGTAGTACCGGCATCTCTTTTTTTGTTGTTGTTAAAAAGTGTGACACTTACTGTAAGAACTTCATGATGAGTACCGGCATCTATTTTTCTAGAAAAAAAGCACTGGTACCTACACATATAAATTAGCATATGCAAAGCTTATGAGAATTTGAGTCTTTTAGTGTGCACTCCTATGGCCCCTGGGAGGGCATTCCAGGGGACACAGAATAGATCAAATCTATGACAATGAAGGGGACACGGGTGGCGCTGTGGGTTAAACCACAGAGCCTAGGACTTGCCGATCAGAAGGTCAGCGGTTTGAATCCCCGCAACGGGGTGAGCTCCTGTTGCTCGGTCCCTGCTCCTGCCAACCTAGCAGTTCAAAAGCACATCAAAGTGCAAGTAGATAAATAGGTACCGCTCCGGCTTGAAGGTAAACGGCGTTTCCGTGCGCTGCTCTGGTTCTCCAGAAGCGGCTTAGTCATGCTGGCCATATGACCTGGAAGCTGTACGCCAGCTTCCTCGGCCAATAAAGCGAGATGCACGCCGCAACCCCAGAGTCGGTCACAGCTGGACCTAATGGTCAGGGGTCCCTTTACCTTTACCTATGACACTGAAGAGCTGCAAAACTGGAAAGGGAAATCCGGTGTCAGATTCCCCCTCCTCAATGCTGTGGAAACCTCCAGTGCCCAGGCCAACAATTGCTGGGTCCCTGCTTTTGCAGGGCTGGGGACTTCAGTAGGACCAAAAGAGGGTGTATCAAGGGAAGACCAAGAACATACACCCTCAAATCAATGGGTGATTTAGACCAGCTCTGTAGCTGGTTTTAATCTCATCCAGGCATTTCCACCCCATTTGCCCCAGAAGAATGTTTCTCCAGTTTAATGTCTGCCCTGCCTGGGAGAGGAGAGGATGCCAGGGCTTTAGATAAGGCCATTGAATCACCTTCAGTTTTTACCTGCTCTGCCTTAGTTTGGTTTAAAAACCTTGCATCACCTTTGTTAAAATGTATTTAAAAGGAGGCCTAAACTATTGGTTTCCATGATTTAGGAAATGTGATTGTGCTGCTAGGTGACCTACTAGATCCCTACCAACTTTGGTGCTTAGAATCTAAATAGGGATTCTTAATACTTGTAATTATAACAAGAAGCATGACAGTATGTCATTGTACCAAAAGGCACAGGAGCACAAGAAAAGCAAAAATAGAAAAATGATGTCTTCAGAGGAAAGGGAAATTTACTAATTTTGAACATGTGCAGCTGTGTTTGTGACTTCCTACCTACATATGATATAATAAAAAAACCATTGCAGACAGCAATAGCACATTCATATAAGTGATAGACCTCATGCCAGGCACTGTAATTGCTATTTGCAAAAATCTTTTCATCGGCAACTGTACAAGACGTGATTGGATACTGCAAATTCTACTAGTTTATTGTATTTGGTTTTTTAAAAGTGTATTACATTTCTATGGTAAATTGCCTTTCTGTATGTTATAATATATTATTCTATGTTGGGTATTTCTCCCTCCTCTCTGAATTTCTCCCTTCTGTTATTATGAAAGTATGATATACAGTTTACCTAACAATTGTGTTTTACATTTTTCTCCATTAAAATAGAGCCAGTGGGCTACTGCCAGACCACCTGGCATGAGATTGTTCTTGCTTTCCTGCTTTTAATTAAAATCTTGGCTATGGTAGCTTATAGGAAATGTAGCTAAATTCAGGCTGGTAGTTTTGCAATGTTTTCTTGCCTCTTTTACAAAGAAGCCACGGGATATCTGAGCGCCTCTGGTCATCTATGCAATAAACCTCCTCCTAAGACTGTATGCCTGTTGTTGGGCTTCCATTTGAGTTTTTAATGTTTTGTTTCCTACCGCATTGTTCCTAGCAGTCTCTGTTCAGTGTGCTTTGCCCCGCATGCTGCTCACACAGTACATTCATGCTCCCATCTCTTGATTATTGGACTGTTTATTGCACTTTGGAGTAGGCTTAGGATTTTTCTAAATCATGGCAATTTTTTAAATTTTATTTTTGCACAGCTGTGTCTTAGACAGTGTTATGTTTGCTGGGTTCGTAACACCTTTAAGCGAGATTAATTGGGAAAGCTTGGGAAACAATACAGCTGCGCAGAATTGCAAAACAGGTAGGAGTGTGACCAAGTCGGTTAATGGTGAAATGGGTCTCTTTTTGTGAAGAGGGATAAATTGGTGGATGTGCACATAATTAGATTTCATACAAGACACACATTTTTTTTTAAAAAAAAAAACTATAAGGAGAGACATGAAAATTAATAGGATGAAATGTTTGTCCAGACAATTAGTACTAGAAGATCGTTATCATAAAATTAGTACCAATTCTGTTAGCAACCGCTTTCTGCACTATCTAAAGAAAGCAGAGATCTGTGCATATCTCACATGCTACTTACATAGATATATTGGCTGTTATAGAAATATCATATTTCAAAAAGCTTTTTAGTACTATATACAATATAGTTCTGTTGTATTGTTATGAGTTAGGAGGTGGGGTAGGCTGTATGCCTGACTCCTTTCTAATTTCTGGATCCAGCAAGGGTTTAATTGTTGGAATAGCAAGGCTATTGATAATGACCCCTAAGTATGGGTCATTAGGGTAACAAAGGAAGTGGCTCTGTGCCAGAAAACAAATGGATGCCCCTCCCCCTCAACTCACTAGTGGTTAGAAGGACAAAAGTCAGAATGGAAGTGTGTGAGAGCTGGAAGCTAGAAGTAGATGGCAGGCAGGCGCATGTGAGGGAGAGACATGTTTGATTTCTCCTTCAGTCCAAGGCTTGTGGCTATGGGAGAAGCCAGACCTTCTAGGGGTGTTAATGCTGTGGGCCCCTTCATCCTAAGCTCATGTTGTATAAATAAACCATATATCATAAAGACGCCACTGTCTCTGCTGTCCCTCATTCCAAGGAAGCTGAATTCTGGGTAAGCGCCTGGAATCTTGCACTGCTCAGAGATTTGGGTGGTGTGCCATAGTATTAATACCAGGATGCTCTTCTGTAGAAAAGGTAATTAAAATCAGAGAATAGCTTGTAAAATGTATTTCTTGTATGTTCCAGGATAACTCCTCTATGTGGATGTGGTAGCAAGTAGCTCAGAGGGCTTCTTGCCATTATAAAAATCTATGGTGCAGCTCCATAGATCTCTGCTGAAGGAACACTGTGAACTGCAAAATTCTATTTTAATGACGGTTATCATAGTTTCTTGTAACAAAAAGTTCAAAATAGGTATCAAGTAAGAACTGGGGTGGGACGCAGGTGGCGCTGTGGGTTAAACCACAGAGCCTAGGACTTGCCGATCAGAAGGTCAGCGGTTCGAATTCCTGCGACGGGGTGAGCTCCCGTTGCTCGGTCCCGGCTCCTGCCAACCTAGCAGTTCGAAAGCACAAAGTGCAAGTAGATAAATAGGTACCGCTCCAGCGGGAAGGTAAACAGCGTTTCCGTGTGCTGCTCTGGTTCGCTAGAAGCGGCTTAGTCATGCTGGCCACATGACCCGGAAGCTGTCTGCGGACAAACGCCGACTCCCTCGGCCAATAAAGCGAGATGAGCGCTGCAACCCCAGAGTCGGTCACGACTGGACCTAACGGTCAGGGGTCCCTTTACCTTTTTAAGAACTGGGGTGGGGTAGATTGCTTCCTCGAATAGTGAACACAGCTGGTGAGTATCAATAGGACTGTAGTCAAAGTAGGGTCACTGAGAAACAAGAAAAAACCAGCATGCTTGGAGGAAACCCAAGTTTTGTAAAAAGCCCTCCCCTCCAACAAACAGGAAAAAAACAACAGGGCAAAAATTCCCCCTCACCTCCCCAAAAAACCAGCCTAGTGCGACTGAGCATGTACAATGACCACAGAATGCTGGGAGGAAAGATGGACAATCACAGGAGACTACCTTGAAGGAAGATGACTGGGTGAAGCCCGGAACAGGAGCAGTCTACGCTGTAACATTTTATTGCAGAACACACTAGTCACTGTCTGGTCTAAAACCATGGCATGGTAATAACTGAGGTTTTGCACAGTTGTTGCTTTATATCTATGATAAATAATGATAATAAGCGTAACAGACAATTTTTAGAAATAAATATATGAATAGCAGTACTGTCTGCTAAATTTTAGTTGAAAGGAATGATGGCACGTCCTTAAAATCATGGTACAATGTGAATCATACAGCACACAGCCAGAATTGGATGTAACGAAGTCTATTTTGTGTGGTGCACAATTTGGCTGTTTGTAGAAAAAGTTAGCCCTTGACCAAAGTATGTAATGGAATTTGTATGAAAAATGTATTTTACCTTTCCAAAAACATCATGCAGCTTGGGATACAAGAGACACCATTCCTAGAAATGGGGTGGAGATAGAATGAAAAGACAAGAATTTGCCAAGGCAAGCAACTGGCATATTCTTCTTTTTTGAAAGAAAAAAAAAAGAGTACTTGCCAGAATAGCAGAATAGCTTCGATATATATCCTTTAAGGTAGGCATATTATATTTTAAATCTCTCATTCTGCTAATGTTTAATTCATTCCTACTTTTCCTAGCCATTTATTCAATTAACTGAAATCAAAACCATTCCAGAAATAAACCTATGAGGAAAGTGCACATGGCCAGACAGGGAGCATTTCCCTTTATGATTATAACTTTTGCAACTCTTTCATGTAATTACATCATTTGTCTTCTTGCCATTCAACAGCAAACAGGAAGTTTTCTCCACCACAATCCAATTACCCCTGACTATACATTTCTAACTGAGGTCCAACATGCCCAAATCATAACCTTCCTCTTTGATGTTCATGTTGCACTCAAAGGAAAATGAAAACTTGTGGTTATGGCACTGACTCAGAAATCCGGGTTCTTGCTTTGGATCCATCAAAAAGTTTCAGCATACTTTTGGCCAAATGATTCCCACCCACCCCAAATCCCACCTTTTTATTGTGCATATGGTAACCAGGTTTGATGTGTAAAATATTGATAAGTGCAGAGGAGAGGTAAGAAAGGATAGAAAAGGAATATACCAGTGTCGAAAGGGAGGGAGGTAGAATAAAGCCATACCATTAGCAAATACAAGCTCATACCATGAGGTTTCCAAAATAAAAAAAGTGTTTTTTTGTTTTTTACACTGAAATAACTGTACAGAGTTTGTGAAATTTGCCAAAATATTTTTTTTAAAGTAAAAACAAAAAGCCACAAGCAAGGAGTTAGGAGGACAGAGGTTGAGCAGATAATTTGGGGTGGGGTGAAAAGCGTGAATAACTTTTACTGTCAAGGAGCATGATGAACAGGGTGCATTACACAGAAGGACAAAGAAAGGGTGATTTAATCACAGGTTCTGGAAACTTGGATGGTTGGGAAATGAGAAGAGGCGCAAGGCAAAAGAACACTTGTTTGATCATGTTTAAAAAATTGCCTTTAGTAATGTGCCACCATGGCTCTTTTATTTAAAGTTTTATGTACTAGGGCCTACCTGCCTGGATCTTTTTTCTCTCTGTTTCTTCAAAAATGTTAACATATCCAGATTCTTTCTAAGTTTATGACTTGGCGGTGGTTGCTGTTAGGAGACAGAGTTGCCATCTTACTCTCCAAGGAGAGAATAGTTAATGGCTTCCCATTAGGAAAAGCCGCCAATTCATCAAAGAAAACAGAACCTTTTTATTATTCCGCCCCCCCACAAAAAACTATATTTGCCCAGTTTGGAGGCAAGCCAAAGAGAGAAGTTCTTTGGGCCAAGACTAGGAGACATCATCTTCTCAAAGGTTGCTTTGTTTCCTGGCAAATCGGTCTTCAACAAACACAAACACAAAATACCCCTATGTTTTCCAGACACCCCCCCCCGAGGTCTCTGAAGTGATGCTGAAAGCATTTTAACAGTCACTCTTCCAAAGTTTAATTGTTTTGTCGTTTTCTAGAGCTGCTGAGGCAATGATGTTCTCCGTTGGATGGCAAGCTGTAGAGATCACAACATCTGTATGCCCTTGCAGCTTCTGTACAGTCTCTTTTGTTTGGAGGTTCCAAATGTAAACCAGGTTGTCCTCTGAACCAGACACGATCCACTTCCCACCAGTAACCGAGAAGTTGGCAAAGATGCAGTACTTCTCGTTCTTGTGGCCTGTGTAGGTCTTTAGGCACTTTCCTTTGCTGTAGTCCCAAAGCTTAAGAGTGTTGTCCAACGTTGCCGCTAGAATGTATTTGCCATTGGGAGAGAACTTCACAAAAGACACAGGGGGATTGTCATCATCAATCAGTGTTTTCAAGCACTGTCCTGATGCTGTATCCCAGATTCGGCAGAGGCCATCATAGCTGCTGGACACTATCAGGGAGCCATCACGGTTAAAATGCACCGCTGAAACTGGGTCAGAATGGGCTGGCAGAGTTTTTAGGCACTTCCCAGTTTTGACGTCCCATATCCTCACACTCTCATCAAACGATCCTGAGACGACGAGGTTGGACTGCGGGTTGAAATTGCAGCAGAAGACGTAGTTGCTGTGCCCCTTCAGGGTTTTCAAGCATTTCCCCGAGCTCACATCCCAAATTTTGAGCGTTTTGTCATCTGAGGCAGATACAAGGAGGTTTGAATCAGATGACCAAGCGACATCAGAGATTCCCAGCTTGTGGCCAGATATGGTTCTCTCAAATTTGCCGTCATAGGCGCCCCAGATTTTTATAAGCTTATCGGCCGAAGAACTGGCCAGCCACTCCCCATGGGGACTGAATTTCACTGATGAGACAGCTTTGGTGTGTCCTGCCAGCGTGAACTTCAGGGCATAGTTTGGTTTTACAGGGGCAGGCTTGCTCTGATTGGTTGAAGAGGAGGGTGTCGATTGTGTTTTGGTTGATTCTGAATCTGGCTTCTTCTCTTCCGTTGCCATGGCTGTGGAAACTAGCACGGCAGGATCTGGGCACTTCACGGGATGGAAGTGCAAGCCAATTCAAAGGTGGGTGTCTCCTACAAGAGAGCTGGGGCAACTTCAGAGCTTCAAATTCTCCACTCAGCTGCCACCTTGGGGACCAGTCACTGCAGACAGAATAGGGAGGTGGGCGGAAAGAACCACGTACTCCACGTTGAGCTTCCTTAAGGCGCGGCTAGAGGCTCCGCTTTCTCCGCCGCCGCCATTGCCTCCACCTCAGCGCTCGGCGGGAGAAGCAGCAGCAGCAGCTCTCGCTTGAGGAGGAGGGGGATACCCAGGGCCTCGCGCAGGCGCACTGAACAAACCTGGCTGGGAAAAAGCGACGCACCACTCACGGCACCCGCGCTCGCTTGCAGCTTGAGGAAAAGCGACGGTAGCGGCGGCGGCGGCGGCCCAAGCGCATGCGCTGTGCGCACCTACCATGGGCTGCCCGCCAAATGATTTAATCTCTGTGTCTCAATTTCCTTTTGTTTGAGATGTGAATAATACTTCCGAAGCATTAGGTGTTGGGAGGACAATCAGTTAATACTCTGTTCAGTTGACTATGGCAGTGGAGTGCAGAATTGCAGAGAACTCTCCATTTCTCTCTCTCTTAACTGAACACAAGCAACTCCCCCTTGCTGTTTCAGTGCTTTTCAAACTGTGAGGTCCCCTAAGGGAAACATAACACGTTGCCAGGGAGAGACATACATTCCTTCCTATCCCTTCTCAGTGTGTATTTTTCATTGCACCAGGAGGCAAAGCGCTAACGCATCTCACTCCTTCTCAATTAGTGCCCCACCTCATCTCCTCCAGGCACACTATACTTCCAGCCCAAGCATCTTTCAGAAACATTGTAAAGCCTTTATATTTTAAGTGAACAATTGCAGTATTTTGAACCAGTCGTGTGCTGTTTAGGAGCACTTGGGACCCAGCCATTGAGTTGCTGGCTTCAAAGTCACTTCTCTTCAAAGCAGACGACTCTTTCGAGTAGTCAGTGGGGCTATTTTTGAGCAAGTTCATTCAAAATCAGTGCCTTATTTTTCTGTACTGTTTGTTCTGCCAGCGTTTTTGGCCCCTTTTCTATGAAGGTGGTTGGATTAGATGGCCTTTAGGTGGCCAGCATTTCACAATCCATAAAACATAGATGGCCAGCATTTCACAATCCATAAAAACATAATTAACTAGTTTGATTGTTTGCATAGCCTTAACCCATGGGTAGGCAAACTAAGGCCCAGGGGCTGGATCCGGCCCAATCACCTTCTAAATGTGGGGCCTGCCTGGTGTTTTTACATGAATAGAATGTGTGCTTTTATTTAAAATGCATCTCTGGGTTATTTGTGGGGCATTGGAATTCGTTCATTTCCCCCCCCCAAAAAATATAGTCTGGCCCCCCACAAGGTCTGAGGAACAGTGGACCGGCCCCCTGCTGAAAAAGTTTGCTGACCCCTGCCTTAACCTGAGGGTTTAGTGTAGGTTACATATAAATCAACCACCAGGTGTGTGGCAAAAAAAGAGAAGAGCCCATTACCCTCAAAGAATGTCACACCCAGTCAAGAACTCTCCTGTGAGGAAAGGTTACAGTATTGGGGTTGTTGTTGTTGTTTTTAGTTTAGAGAAAATGTGAGTAAGAGGAGACATAAGAGAGGTGCATACAATTATGGATGGCTATTATGCATAAAGCAGATAGTCCTAACTCCAGAATTTGTGGGCACGCAATGAAGCTGAATGTTTGAAGATTCAGGACAGACAAAAGGCAGCGCTTTCCCCCACTGTAAAGGTAAAGGTACCCCTGCCCGTACGGGCCAGTCGTGTCCGACTCTAGGGTTGCGTGCTCATCTCGCTCTAGAGGCCGTGAGCCGGCGACGTCCAAAGACACTTCCGGTCACGTGGCCAGCATGACGAAGCTGCAGCTGGCGAGCCAGCACCAGCGCAGCACACGGAAACGCCGTTTACCTTCCTACTATAAAGCGGTCCCTATTTATCTACTTGCACTTAAGAGTGCTTTCGAACTGCTAGGTGGGCAGGAGCTGGGACCGAACGATGGGAGCTCACTCCGCCGCGAGGATTCGAACCGCCGACCATACGATCGGCAAGTCCTAGGCACTGAGGTTTTACCCACAGCGCCACCCGACTGTAGTTACCGATAAATTGCGGAATACACTCCCATAAGAGGGAGTGATGGCCATCAACTTGGACGCCTTTAAAAGAGGATTTGCTGGTGGACTTGTAAAAGGGTAAAAGACTATTGGGAAATGATCCAGAATGAACTGAAAAAAATGTTTAAAAGTACTCCCCCCCCTCGAAAAAACCCCCAGTCCTTTCTGTTGGGGATAATTTAGACTGAAATTCCCAGGTGTCAAAAGAGGTTATTTACGTATGTCACTACTGTGGCCTGTGTTTTGTTAGCCCAAGAATTGAAAATGAGCAAGGTCCCAACCAAAGAAGAGTGGCAACTTAAGTTGACAGAATATGCACAGCTTGCAGACTTAACATATAGAATAAGAGAACAAGAAAAACATACATTTAGAGAATATTGGAAAACGTTTATTGAATATATGGCAAATAACTGTGTTCAGCTGAAAATGCTGGCAGCATTAAGATAAATTCAGCAGTGTAAATAAGTTATGATGGATGTAATAATGGAATGGTATAGTTTCTGCAAAATATGCAGGGATTTATGATATGTAAAATGAACTATGGAAGAAGAAGGGAAGTCATTGATATCTTAAGGATGTAAAAATGAGTACAGTGGTACCTCGGGTTAAGTACTTAATTCATTCCGGAGGTCTGTACTTAACCTGAAACTCTTCTTAACCTGAAGCACCACTTTAGCTAATGGGGCCTCCCGCTACTGCTGCGCCGCCGGAGCACGATTTCTGTTCTCAACCTGAAGCAAAGTTCTTAACCTGAAGCACTATTTCTGGGTTAGCGGAGTCTGTAACCTGAAGCGTATGTAACCTGAAGCATATGTAACCCGAGGTACCACTGTACTGTAAATTGTAAAACAGAAAATTAATAAAAACTATATATATAAATAGAGGATCTGACAAATTTAAAGGGGATAAGGCTATCAATAGCTACAAACCCTGATGGCTATGTACTTCCTCTAAGATCAGTTGCAGCATGCCTTGGAATACCGTTTGCTGAAGACCAACAGCAAGAGAGGGCTATTGCCATCCTATTCTGCTTATGGAGTTTCCAGACAGTATCTGGTTGGCCACTGTGGCAAACAGGGGCTGAACTAAAGAGATCTTTGTCCTGAGCTAGCAAGTCTCTTCATATATTCCCATGTTTATAAAAAATATTAAAGGGGCTGCAGGAAGTTAAACAGAATTGATACAGTATGTTAAACAAATAATGCAGCCCCTTCCTAATCTCAGCACAGTACATTAAAGATTATGTTAGGTATAATTACTCCCGCTAACAAGAGCCAAATAGCTAGGGAAGATGAACTAAAAGGCAGGGTCTGGATACAGAGCCAAAAAGTACTGTACGTTGGCTGAAAGTAAATTGTAAGAGACAATAAAGTTCATTGTGAAAATGCTGACACCAAAACCCTGTGAGCTGCCAGCGATTTTCTTTTCTGTGCAGACAAGCACCTGACAGTAAATGAATGCATTTATAACGCAATTATAAATTGCATGGGAAAAGAAGCTCCCATTTGCTCCAGTTGGAGCTTCCCCGTTCTTTGTGCAAATGGCAAGTGTGTGTTGGGGCAGGGGGATACTGATCTGGAACAGGACTGCAATACGGGGCAAATGAATAAAGACCCCCTCATGCCCCTTCCACACACCACACCAAGGTCCTAATCCAGATTGGTCTTCTCACACTGGCTATTTGTCCAAGAAAAATCACACACTCGAGGGCAGACCACACAATTAATGTTGTGGCCCTAAGAGCAGTCGATTTAAGGAAGTTTGTGAAAAGAAAGCTGTATGCCCCCACCCCTCTAACAGGCCCTCCACCCCATTCCATGTTTCACAGAAGGAGCACCACCAACCCCTCTGGGCAGGCTTTGGGTAAGTATAGGTGGCCGCAAGGAATATGTGAGACAGAAAACTTTCATTTTCTGAACTTTCTTACGTTAGCTTATCTTTGAAACCAAGACATAATACTCAACATTTTGTGTTAATTACATGTCGTGATTCTGGTTCTTGCTTTAACAATGATCTTGGCAGTGGCCATTGACCTATGTGCCTTCGGTTTTTGCAAGCCGCTTTTTGTAGCGTTCCTGGTCATGTGAACTCCACCTGTGCATGTGTTTGTGCTCACAGTCTATTCAGGTGACCAGCTCCAAATGTCAACACAGGTAAGTGGCCTTGTGCTAAAGTCAGACCATTGCTCCATCTAGACAAGTATTATATCTGCCAACAGGACTCTTTCCCAGTCCTCCCTGGAGATGCCAGGGATTTAACCTGGGACATCCTGCATGCAAAGCATGTCCTCTACCATTGAGCTATGACCCTTTCCCCAAGGTCTGTGGATAGCCATTGCATTTGGTTATGTTGTCCAAACAGGGGTGTAAGTGTTCTGTTTTCCAACAGCAAGGCTGCATAATTTTTGTTGCGATCAACAGTTTCTTAATCAGTTTCATCCATTATCTCCTTCAGAGATCCTAACAGTCACAAAAGTCCTTACCCAGCTGGTGTAACCTGAGAATAATATGTTGTGAACAGGGTAATCAATATCTCACAAGCTTGGTGCTGTAACCACTGTACTACACTCTCTACCAGCCAGCTATTTGTGAAGTTTTACGCTTGACCCCCTCCCCTTCACCACACTTGTAAAGAGTAAGCTACATTGGCCGTTTTCTTCTTTTCTACGTGGAAAAAATACATGTCCTCACTAGGCTTTGTCCTGATTTTTTCCTGACAGATTTGGTCTGCTTTGCACAAGGGTTTATATATAGAAGGCTCTCACACTATGAACAACAAAATTAGGGCACTGTCATTTATGACATCAGGAAATTAATATGCCAAGGGGGGAAATGATAGTATAAAAGGGATACTTTAGCCAGTACAAAAACTATTCAACCCTGCCAGCAGTGGTTCCTCTCTTTATATTTGCATATTTGCCCTGAGGGCTAATAAATATATGCAAGCTATTTTGTTATGATGGCTCTTTATTTGGACTGTTGGGAACAGATGACAAAATTTATAATGAACAAATTTTTGAGGAATGGAAAGGGGGCTGTTGTATTTGGGCAGCCACAGCGAGACTGCATATATATAGGAAGGGTGTGTGCGTGTGTGTATAGAGAGAGATCGAGAGAGATCAGATAAAGTGGTTTCTAAGCACTGTCACAAGCTCTGTGAAGGTGAAGGCAGCTGCATTAAAATTGTCACCAGGTAGAAAAGTCAGCAATATGGTATGGTGTAACATCCATAACTGGATTCAGCTAG